CAATAGAATTCATTAAATTGTGTGCTAGAACCAAATCAGGTAAGGAAAATATTATTTTGCAAAAGTAAAATCACTTCTGTATGTGTTTGACAGAATCAAGTATTCATTTGTGTTCCACTGAGGACATTACTGAAATTTGTCCAATGGTTTATATCCAAATGGTTTACTGTGGAATTCTTCAGAATGTATTAATATTTGCTGTTGCTAGAGTTCTGACTTGTATATTCCCCACCCTCTTTCACAGTAACTGTGGCAATAATATTATTGCTTTATCCTGTTCATCATCTTCTTGCAGCTTCTGGCCTTGCCTTAATGGAGAATCACTCAGGGAATTTGGTTTGGGTTTTGGCCTCTTACTAAGAATAGTTGTCATCTCTTTTTATCTCATTAAAATTCTTTGCATTGCTCTTGTTGTTTTAAAATAACCCTGATTATTTCCAAAATCTCCATATATCCACAAAAGCTCAGCAAACCACTGCCTGGCATCTTTGTGCTGTACAACACGAGCTACTAAAGTCAAACTAAGGCTATCATGAAAGGAGGACACAGTAGGCAAAGATCTATTCTGTAAGTATTCACAGTTCTCCATGCAGGGAAGCAACATGTCGTCTTGGCCCATGTCCTGCACACATTGAAGCAAAGGTCTATAAGGATGGTTCACTGTCAAGCAACAACCCATTAGTTCTAAAAGATAAAATTCTAATTCTAATATGTGGTTCATCCTATGAAGAAATTCCTTTGGAAAGACATCTGAAAATTTAGTTTTTAATACAGAAGTAGCAGCAGAAATCAATCTTGTATTTGAGACTATTCCAAATTCCTCTATTTTGGATGCTAAAACCATACATGTAACAGCCATTAATAAAGTATCTATACTTTTCAGAGATTACCTGGCATAGAATCTCTTGAAATAAACTGTAGCACTGGCAATAACTTGTGTTAATTTAAGATGTTTATCTAATACTTGATTAACATTTGGGGGGGGGGGAGTTCATAATTTCCCATACTCACTCTGTGGGAAACTTTTAAGTTCTTTTGGCATGCCTTTAAAAGATCTTGTTTATCCAAAGTCTATTGCAAATAGTAAGAGCTCTGCCAAAAGTTCCCTGCCATGCAACATGGTTTGCACTGATGATAAACCACCAGTCAGTGGAGCAGCCTACAGATCAACAGACCCAGTCCCTCAACTAGAATCCGTTTGCCTCAGCAGTGACAGCTGGGAAGAGGAAAAGGATAGCATCCTGTTCTCATTCATGTTGTCCCTAATGCTCTCTTTTGGTTTAATTTTTTAATTTTTTTTTTTATGTATTTCACCTATTGGCTAAATTTACTTTTGCTCTTTTTAAAAATGTTTTATTATACTTTAGTGGTTGCTCTAGGACTAACAACATCCTTCTTTAAATTAGCAGAGGCTATTCCAAATTCATTGTACCTCTTTTTACCTTGTGGTTTACACTTCAGACTTCCCACTTACCCAAATAATATTTAGGGTCCCTTCTCTTTTTCTTATAAAAATGTTACTTTTTTTTTTTTTTTAATTTTGATGTATTTTTGTTTGTTTTCTAGGGTACTCAATATAATCAGTTATAAACACATGTAAACTCTATAATATATGTATTAGCCAAAAGATATATTTTTTATTGATTTTTTACATTGTCAGATTTTCCTTTAATTTAAAATTGCCATGATTTTTAACTAATCCTAGCCATCATGTTGGTTTTCAGATAGTCCTAGAGAAGAGCTATTAGTTGTTTTATGTCTTCAAGAATAAACACCTATTAAGTACTTTGATTTAGCCTTGTACTTACTGCTTTATTGGAACCAAAATCTTTTCCAGAATCCAGTACTCACTCATGTTAAAAGGTGGCTTAACTGTGTGTACTGACTGTGTATTCATTTGCCTCACTAATGGCTGCAGCAAATAAGAAAACATAATTTTATCTTCCGTTTGTTCTCCTCTTGCTAAACTTGATGCCATGCCTTTACTGCTCCCCTGAACATAGATTATAGTTGCTCTTGTATCTAACACACCCCTCAAGAACTCAAGAGCCTTCTTTTTACCCCTGATCTTCCAAAACGGGTTGCAGATATTGAAATTTTGTTTCCTTACATAGTCAAGAGTTCTGCCAGCTCCAGCCAGCTGAGACTTGTGTTAAAATACTTTACCAGGTCATACCATCCTTGTCAACATTGGCCTCACCAGTAGAAGCATGTTTTGTCTGGAGTGAACTGCGAGTTTGTCTGCTGAGATTCTAAAAATGACTGCCTTGGCTCTGGCAGTTTGGGGAAGTGGTTGACTCAAGTACATGACTGCTATGTAACAGCCAGTAACTTTTTCTGCTATTTTGTAGGATGGAGAGTGAATGAGAAAAGGGGTAATTTACAAGGCTGCAACTTTGTCCAGATAGGAAGGAAAGGAGACTTGGGTTGTACTCATTGCCTCTAGTTGGTTTGATGTTTTTTGTTATCCATATTCTAATGAAAGTTGCATTGTAATTCAAGATGATTTCAGAAAGATGGGATGTATTGAAAGTAATTAAGAGAGAATTGCCCTGAGTTGAATGGATGAATAAGTTAGTGAACATTCTAGGTAATCTAAACTCTGGATCTGAAGTCTGAGAAATTTAAAAAACAAACAAACAAACAAACAAACATATTGGTGCTTAGCAGTACAGAAGCACCACTGAACTCTACTTCCATTAAGTACCAGAATTAAAATCCCACACAAAACTATATGCACGTTCCTTTTTCGGGTGGAGAGAGTACGTGATTTTGATCTTAAATTATTAAAGGAAATTCAGAAAAGAGTTTGTATCCTATGTTGTTGTTATGTGCTGTTGAGTCGGACCCAACACATAGTGACCCCTCCTTGGGTTACCGAGGTGGTATCACTACGGAAGTAGATTGCCCCATCTTCCTTCTGAGGAGTGCCTGGTGGGTTTGAACCACCAGCCTTCTGGTTAGCAGTCCACTGCCTTAGGCACTACACTACCAGAGCTCCTTTGTATCATATAGAAGATTAAGAACTACTATCCAGAGAGTACTCACCTGATTTTTAGTTTTCTGAAGCCTTCTTTTTATTTCAAATTGCCCTGGCCAATATCTATGCCTTCACATGTCTTTTTTTCCCTTCAATTTCTGATGTTGAAAATAAAGGGATGAAGATTTATATGAAAATGAGTATTCATATACAGGGAAAGGAATTGACTTATAAGCCCTTGAGTACCTCTTGGTAAGGTGCTAAGGAGACATCTTAAGAAAACTTATAGCAAAAGTGACATAATTGAAACTGAGTAGAATAAGGCTGTTAGAAAGGAATCTCAAACATGCAATTCTTTAAGACAACTAGAGGCTTTCAGACAGATTGTAGGCACAGAGAACAACACTGTTTATACACATACAATATTTGTTCGACTGGTTTGTTTGTGTGCTGCTTTTGTCTCATGTTTGAATAAGAGCAGTCTCCCTGTCCTAGACCAGCATGTCTTCTACAGCATCTTCTAGGTAAAGCTGCCAGTCCAGTGAAACGGTCACAATGTCTGTTAAATAAAAATTAAACAAAATTAAATATTTTGTTTTACAGCAGAGAAATAGGCCTTGTTGTTTTGGGAACATGGCATACATGAAAAGTTCTGGAAAACACGTAGTAGATAAAGGGATTTGTTACCAAAGGGAGATTGTCTTCTTCACACTCCTGGCTACTAAAAATCAGGTTTTTGTCTTTTATTTTTTCATAAAAAGAGCATTTCATTTTAAAAGTTCATTATAGCCATGCTGTCTGCTTTTTACCACTAGTTTGAACTCCTCTTTGCCTACCCAGCTCCTCACTCTCAAAGGGGTAGCACCAGCTTCACAGGCATTGGAGCAAGTACACCAGTCCAGACCCACTAAGGGTCAAGCAAGTATTAATGAACCATGCTTCAAATGAACATGCTACAGATCAAATCAAATTTGTGAGAGTCTTAATATTTAGAACTCTCATTATGTCTTGATAAGCTAACACATTCACATTATCCCTAGTAAGGGAAAGAAGTTTTTCATAATTCTCTCAGAAGGGTAAATCTTTAATTTCTTACTTTCATCTTACTCTTTTTCCTATGAATATTTCCTTTGCCTTTTTCTATAAGTATTATTGTAGATTATAAATCAACATGTACATCCTTCTTTTTCAATAATTGGACAAATCACTCCTTTACATCTCTTTGCTTACTGAGAAAAAATACTTCAGATGAAGTATGAGGTGAAGTTATATCTGGATTCTTTAATAATTAAGATATAGAATCTAACAATTAAATTTTGCTATCTCATAAACAAAGCATCTTTAGGTGCTCATCAAAATGTTGTAGAATAGCTAATCAAATTCTAAGCCAGAATGTTTAAGTTGTCATAAACCTGTCTTTAAGTGTTTTCTGTATAAAAACTGTCTTTACAATTTAGAATACTGTATTTTGTAACATGTATGTACAATTGAATATAAAATGTATGTACAATTGAATATAAAATAATAGTTTCATACGGAAATAACCACTTGTATTTGGGAAAGGTCTCCCACCTTTATATCTTGTTTTAGGCAAGAAAGACTGTGAGTTTCTTTTTTGTTTGCCATCTGAGGGATGGACCTAATTCTGAACCAATTACCTATCTGAACTGCATAGAGTTTCTTTAATTGTATGAGCATAGGTAAGGCTGTTATTCTCAGTTTCATAGTTTATATCATGGATTATTAAAACATTTACCTATTATACTAGAATGTGCATTTGTTGTTTAGAGTATAACAGCTTGTTTTGTTAAACGTTTTCTTAACATATTGACCTTTTTTTCTAATTTGGTAATTAAAAGACAACATGAGGACCTTTCAGAGACTTTGCGTTACTTCTCCTCATTTCTTGCTTTCTACTTAAGATTGGTCAGCTGGGAAACCTTCAGTTCCGTCTACCCTTTTCCCACCTGTCCTCTATTTTGCAATTAATGTACTTTTGTGTTTGGGGCCCTTTGGTTAGGCCACAGACATTCCACAGCTACCTAGAGGACATCATCAACTATCGCTGGGAGCTGGAAGAAGGGAAACCTAACCCATTGAGAGAAGCAAGTTTCCAAGAACTGCCTCTTCGCACTCGTGTGGAGATCCTACACCGCCTATGTGATTATCGGCTAGATGCAGATGATGTCTTTGATCTTCTCAAGGTACCTAAGTACCATGCCCTTCCTTTAGAGGGAAAAAAGTCAGCAGTTGAGAATGTGGTCAGAATGTAAAATCAGAAAATAATAAGAGAATCCAGAGTTTGTCATGTCTTACTAGTCTTGGGGCTCTTGGTTGACAGTAACAACAGTATATAAAACCATGACCGTGGTAGCCAAGGGAATCTATATGACTGTATATTATTTGATTTAATTTCTAAATTTATTTTTATTTTTTTAACTTTCTCTGAGTCAGAGCTGATAAGTGAACAATTGCAGGCACCTATTTGTCCTCCTGGTAGCATGGTGGTTAAAGCATTCAGCTGCCTACTGAAGGGTTGGTGGTTCGAATCCACCGCTGTTCCATAGGAGAAAAATGTGGCCATTTACAGCCTTGGAAACCCTGAGGGGTCCTACAGGATTGATATGAGTTGGAATTAACGGCAATGGGATTGGTTTTGTATGTCTAAATTTCACTGAACATAACTGAGATATTTATTGAAAATTCTAAGGATGTTAAACTTTCTCCTACACAAGTGAAGTTCATCTCTCATACACACTACATGTGTTGGAGGATAAGAATATCTCTTCCCTTCCCCTTATTCTTCTATTGCTGTTATTATTTTAGAAGTCTGTCTCAGGGAGGGTGTGGGTTATTGCTTTTCACTCTTAGGGAGGTCAGTTTCTAATCCTGTTCAATCAGAAATGATTAAATGTGTTGATGACTTCTCAGTTCAGCCTTGCTCATGGACATGTTATAAAAATCATTGTGTAATTTAGCACAGTCTTTGCTGAAAATTGAAGGACTTGAGTAGCAGTCGGAAGGCCAATATAGGTCAGACCCTCGGGTAAATTGGAAGCCGTATTGCTGAAGCTCAGCTGGAATATGAGGTTGCTATAGGTTTTGATGATGCTACAATAGAGAATCACATGGACAAAGCTTTCACAATATCTTATTGTACTCTACTGTCATTGCCTCTCTTTTTATGAGCACACACATTAAATCCTAATAAATCTAAACCACATGTATAAAACGTGAATCAAAATTCCTTTTGGTTCCCCTTTTTTGGTGAAATGGGTCAATGGTGGGGGTGAGGACCATTTGAAATGATTCCTTATGCTGTTCTTCAAAGACAATACCACTTTCCTATTCTCTCTGTTCCATACGACTTGATTGGAAATTTTTAAATATTAAGTGTTTCAGAATTTGAATTATGACTCCTAATTATAGTTATCTCTTGTTTCCCATTTCCCTCATCTTCTTTTTCTGATTCTCCTACCTAGGGTCTGGATGCAGATAGTCTCCGTGTGGAACCACTGGGTGAAGACAATTCTGGAGCACTGTATTGGTATTTCTATGGAACACGAATGTACAAGGAAGACCCTGTACAAGGAAAATCCAATGGAGAACTCTCTCTGAGCAGGTACATTGTTTAAGGGCATGGCTGTGAGAGCTATTGTATATAAATATCCTTAAGAATGACTGCATCAGAGTTCTGTAGCACATTTTTCCGCCTAATGAAGGAATTAGCTGTAATAGCATGCCTGCAAAGGAAGAGACAAGGGGTTACACAAAAATTGAAAGGAACAAATCTGTAGCCCCTGCTGCCATTAGTGATAGTTCTTTTGATATGAGATTCCTGAAAAATAGTCACTATCCTTAGCATAGACCGTAACCAGGTTTTTCTTCTCAGCAGTACACATTTCACTGCTACAGTTTTCATAGTCAGTCGTTGAGAATGCCTTTTTTTTTTTTTTTTTCCCTAGAATTGATGGTATGCATTATTAACTCTAGGCTCCAACTCACTACCAAAGCCATTCCCACTGCCACTGAGTTGATTCTGACTTGTAGTAACTCTATAGTAACAGAGTAGGTCTGTCCCATTCAAACCTGTTTTCAATCTTTACAGAAGGAGACTGCCTCATCTTTCTTGAGTAGAGTCGATAATGGATTCAAACTGCTGACCTTTCAGTTAACAACCCAGTGCTTTAACCACACTGCCACCACAGCTCATGCTCCATCACTAGAAAGACTTTAAAAGATATCAGAAGTATACGCCTTCTTAAATGTTTCCTAAATGAGGCCTCCTTCCCATAGTATCCTAGAAAGATACTGATCTCTTACTTTATTTAGAATTACTTACTACTAGGAGCCGTGCTCCCTGTTGGGAAGGTGTTTGGTCTTACATTATAATATTGTTAAACACCAGTTTTCCATGGTTCCCTGTGACTCCTGTATTTAATTCTTTTTTGGTAACCTTATGGCCAAAATACTATTAGTACTAATTTCAAAATCATATGTAAGACATTAATCCTGTGCTTGAACATTTCTACTCATTATGATATTTTGTAGAGAAACTGAAGGACAGAGAAATGTGTCAAATGTTCCTGGAAAAACAGGAAAAAGAAGAGGAAGACCCCCCAAACGGAAAAAAGTTCAAGAGGAGATTACAGTGAGGTAAGAATATCTTGTTAGTCTGGCTTAGTGACTGTCTTGCCGGACAGGACCTTAGGTTTCACTTGTTCCATTATCCTTGCTTTTTGCGTGTGCCGTGGGGAGGGCATTGAACTTGCTTGGAGTATGGAGACCTGGATCAGAGTTGTCCTGAACTTATTGAGTGTGCAGTAAGGAATCAGAAAGCCATAACTGGGTGAACTCTGGTAAATTACTTGGACAATAGTATACTAATTGTCATTTATTAGACAATGGAATACTAATGAGGATTAAATCAACAATGCATGTGACAGTGTAAAGAACTGAAAACCATGCATGATCCATAGTGCTTTTAGAATTTTATATTCTGCACATTTTTTTTTATTTACAAAAGGCTGATGCAAGTAAGTTCTGTGATTGTGTTGACATTTTAATGGAATCATATCTGAGTTTAGGAGTTAATTATTTCCCACTAAGGAGATTGATTTTATTTTTTTATTTATCTATTAATTAGTTAATTTATTTATTTTGTGGTGTTCCCTCCCCCTAAGGAGATTTTAGTAGCTAGCATTCCCCAGCATGCTTTTTTTTATAAAGAAACTGTAAAGTCTTAAGCATTTTTATATTTATTTATAGCAAAGAAAAATAATTTATGTTTGAGAAATTTTTGTGCATTCAATAAAAACATTTTATATGTTCTTTGTCATTGTCTTTTAGGACATACTACTATATGAATCTTAATTTTCAGACTCTGACCTATACCATCTAAATATATTTTTACTAGGGATCAACTTTATCATTATAAACCTATTAAAGTTAGGCTATATTCTTGAAATATTTAATAACACAGGGCAAATAACATCTACATTATAAATTTTAGAACTATTAAATTCTTCATCTTAATGCTTGGGTTAGACCAGCTCTCACTGTGTTGCTTATTGACCACTGAGAAACATTTCTAGGAAATGAGGTTATGAATAGATTAGTTAGAATTTGGTTTTTAAAATTCATTTTTACTTAACTTTCCAGAAACTTGACTGCAGATTACAGCTGCCTGTTCCAGTAGCTCTTGTGAGAAATGTTTTATAATTACTTATGTTTTATATCTGGTAGCATAGTCCCTAAGGCATTTGACTGCTAACCAGAAGGCTGGTGGTTCAAACCCACCAGCCACTCCTTGGAAGGAAGGTTGGGCAATCTACTTGCATAGTGATACTGCCTTGGAAACCCAAGGGGAGGGGTTGCTATGAGTCGGATCTTACTCTATGGCAGTTTGGTGGTGGTGGTAGTGGTGGTGGATCTCCCTTTTGATTTTATTAGATTTCCAACCACTGTGGAAAGCTGTTTACACCTATCTCCATTTCCCTGTACACGCCAACAATTGAAATTTCTTAGTGTTGGGATTATAGCATTCATGGGCTTGTGCTACCCTCTACTGGTGATTTTAATCCTTACAAGCTCTACATCCAACATAAACCAAAAACCAAACTCACTGCCATCAAGTTGGATCTGACTCATAGTGACCCATCCTTGGATTTCTGAGGCGGTATCACTATGGAAGTAGATTGCACAACCTTCCTTCCAAGGAGTGGGTGGTGGGTTTGAATTCCCAGCCTTCTGGTTAGCAGTCAAATCCTTAAACACTATGTTACCAGAGCTCCTACATCCAATGTAGTATTCAAATATATGGCATTTAATTTAAATATTTTTATAATGAATAAATTTTAAAATTCAGTTTCTCAGTCACATTAGCCACATGGTGGCTCTGGTAACTTATTAGAAAGCATAAACAAAGAGAATTTCCATCCTCACAGAAAGTTTTATTGTATAGCACTTCTTTAAATACTTGATAGAAAAAAGTACTCAGAGAATATCTTACAGGTTTCAGGGATACAAATGACAATAATACTTTGTACTATTGTGCTGAGCATTTTTGCATTTTGTAATTTAATCCCCACGATACATGTGAGGCAGGCTCTATGAATAGCCCTATATTACAGGAAAGTTAATGAACTTTACTGAAGTCACATGATAAGTGGCCGAGCTTGGAGGGAACCTGATTTCAGAGCCCAAGTTTTTACCCTCTACCTTATGTGAGGATGCGAGCTCAGTGGTGTAGTTTCTAAGGCATTTGACAGCTGACCAGAAGGCTGACAGTTCAAACCCACCAGCCACTCCTAGGAGGGAAAATTGGGCAATCTGTTTTCATAGTGATACTGCCTCGGAAAGCAAAGGAGGGGTCGCTGTGGTCGGAAACAATTCGACAGCAGTGAGTTTTTTGTTTTTTGTTCATATAGGTATAAATTAAATATACCTTATCTTTATATTACCCCTGAATCGAGGACATCATGATTTTTTTTTCTTGGCATTTTACTATTAACACTTTACTCATCTATTTGATTTTCAAAAAGTGTTTTTAAAATTAATGTGTTCCTGTTTATTGATTTTGCTGTAGTACCAAGTTCTACATCTCATTAGTGGGGCCTAAATTGATCTTCTGTAATGACGCCACTGCATCCTGGTGTTCATTTGTTGTATAGAGTAGTTTCTTCTAACCTCTCCTCCTTGACACACACACATAATCCTTGTATTAAACTAACTGGATTTACCTTCTGGGGGAAACACAGAACAATTTTGGACATGTTTTTGTTCTAATCAGTGCCTCCTTTTCTGTGTTTTAGTGAAAAGCAAGAAGAAAACTCCTTAGCATCTGAGCCGCAGAAAAGAAATGGTAATGATCTTTGTTGGAGTTTAAGTTTAGATTAAGTGAACATGTTTCATTTATATTATCTATCATTCTCCAGAGTCATACAAAGTTAGGATTATTGGCAGTGGTCTTCTAACAAGCCTCCTTCATCTTCTTCAGTTCTCTCTTACACAAACCTGATTCTGTGTCCATTTCTCCATCTGACAGACAATTCAAGATGAGAGTTAGGCCTTTTTATGTTTGTGCCCTGTTCTGGGCACAGTATAATAGACACTCAAACTTTAAATGAATTAATAGCTTTTCAAAAAGCAATCTTTTTAATGTCAAATTCTTACTACATAAGGGCTCCTACCTAGATTTATGTTTTGTAATCCTAATACTATTAATTTGGAAGAAATAGGGATTTAAATAGCATATGTGAGAGAGCTGGGCTCTGCAAAAGTTCAATCTCAAAAGCATCTGTATAGGAAAGTAGATACATTTAAGTATTTTTTTCAGGGTACTGGTTAAGAGCTCGACTGCTAACTGAAAGATTGGCAGTTCAAACTTACTAGACACTCAATGGGAGAAAGATGTAGCAATGTACTCCATAAAGATTTACAGCCTTGGAAACCTTATGGGGCAATTGTACACTGTTTTCTATAGACTCCGTAAGTGATTTGTTTGGTTTTTATGTAGGGCATTAAAAGAAGTCCCCTGGGTGGTACAAATGATTAAGCACTTGACAAACTAGTTCCAAGGTTGGGCAGTTTGAACCCACCCAGAGTTGCCTGTTGATTGGCTTCTGAGAGGTCATAGCCTTGAAAACCCTCTGGAGCAGTTCTGTTCTGCACACATGGGGTCACCATAAGTTGTAATAGACTCTATGGCAACTAACAACATAAGAGTATTAAAATCTTTTATAAGCAACAACAGTTATATATGTATTTCCTTTAGGCATTCTTAGTATTTGACTTGCAAACAGTGACATTAAAAAGTATATGCTGTTAGCTTTAAAATAAAATTAGTAAGTCTTCTTTAACTCCTAGGTTTTTAGTTAATGACTCTGGTTAGAATTAAAATTGAGAATAAATAGGAAGAAAGGCCCTAGTGGGATTTGTTGTAGTGAATCTATCCCTTTCTTTTCTAGGGTCCCAAGGGCCAGGCCAAGGAACATGGTGGCTCCTTTGCCAAACAGAAGAAGAATGGAGACAGGTCACTGAGAGCTTTAGAGAGAGGACCTCCCTACGAGAAAGGCAGCTCTACAAGCTCCTCAGTGAGGACTTCCTGCCTGAGATTTGCAACATGATTGCTCAGAAGGTATGCAAACACTGGCATGTGCTTCTTCCCCTCATTGTTAGATATGATTATTTGATTAGGACTTTTGAATATGTTCCACTTGCCTGGGAATTGGTGCAGGCCTTTTTTCCTCTCAGTTGGACTAGTAACATGGGATTTCATGCCACCCAATCCCTTTCACTATTAAAAGGAAATAAACCAAACTTAACTTCCATCGAGTCAGTCCCAACTCATAACAACCCCTCCTTTGGTTTCTGAGGCAATATCTCTGAGGACTCTTCTTTCCGAGGAGTGGCTATTGGGTTTGAACTACCAGCCTTCTGGTTAGTCAGTCATATAATGTTCTCCCTGACCCCAAGAATTTCTCAGTGTTTATAATCCCCAGTACTCACAGTGGTTCTCAGAGTCTGGAATTAACGTTCTTCTCCCACTACAGTCTTCACAAAATCATTCCTGAGACGCCATGGGTGTCTCGCATCCTCTTGCCAATACCTCTTTTATGTACTTTTAGGAAATCCTCTCTTTATGGCTCTCTCTCTTTCACATGAAAACTTTGTAGCTTCATGGGCAGCCATGTGCCTGGCTCCCCGTGGTTCCATGCATCCTCTTCCCCAACTTTACAGGACAAGTTGTAGTTTCTTAAACAGTATGCCCTGTATTTACATCCATATGTGCTTATTCATGACATTTTTAAAATCTTTCCCCCTCCACTTCCTTACCCATTTGAATACTACTCTCTCAAAGGCCCCAGTTAAGTATCACTACCGCTAGAAACTGCCCATTTCACCTATTCACAGGAATTTCTTCTTTTACATGCTTCTTATCCCTTACTTTATTTCACTGTGAGTTGCTTAAGCTCAGTAACCCCCAAAACCTGGTATAATGCTTTATCTATGTGGAAGTGTTTGATAATCATTAAGTTTGCTTATTTTATCTCTGTAATGTGAATTATGGATTGTTAATTGTTAATAATGATTGTTAATAATGTTAATATAGATATAATTATTTTATAATAATAATAATAATAATAATAGTTAATATAATCTAAAGAGAAAGAATTTATAAATTATTATTATAATACTTCCAGAGTAAGTTAAATAACAAATATGTTATTTAACTCATCACCATCCAATGATGTTTCTAACTCTTTAGCAGGTTAATGCTTCAGGGATAGTTCCAGAAATTCACCTTTCTCTATTGGCAAGAGTTTATAAATAACACCTCAAGATTTAGATTGTTAGGGATGAAAAACAAAATCTGCATTTCCCTGTAGATGTATTTAATTCCTCATAAGCGAAATCATTATGCTTGGTTTTTTTTTTGATCTGTGACAATATTTTCCAGGAATTGAAATGGCTAATCTAATTTTCTTAAAGTAACTACAATGTAAAGAGAAAGTTTTATGACATTACATAACTTTTTATGTGATGTAATCAGTATGTCCACTATAAATCATATGCCTAATCAGCTAATTTAGTATTTCTACTTTTTCACTACATCAGTCACCCTAAGATTTTAGCAGGTGAGGATAAGTAATAAATAGTGTTACAAGCATGATATTGGTGGTATTGATTTCAAAAGATATCAAGTAATTCTTTGCTAGAGAAGAAAAAACTAAAATAAGATAAACCTTAAATATAATTTTCAAGAACCATGAAATTAGAAACCAGAAAGAGGAATAGATTTGAGATTTTGAAAGAGATATATGCTCTAAATCTGAAAACCTCAATGAAATAGATTGTTAACTACAAAAATAAGAGAATCTAAATTGTGCAGGATAAAATCTCAACAGTCCAGTAATTGAGGAATAAGTTGTTTTCAGAAAAGCATTCCCATCAAAAAAGCCCCAGAATCAGTTGGATTCATTCACAGGTAAAATTTTCTAAACCTTTGCGGAAAGGATAATTTCTAAACATTTCAAAAATGAAGAAATCGGAAGCTGTTTTAGTTAGCTTACAAAAAAAAAAAAAAAAACCTTGGTGCCATCGAGTCAGATCTGACTTATAGCGACCCTAGCGACCCTTCCTTGGTTTGCTGAGGCGGTATCACTACAGAAGTAGATTGTTCAACCTTCCTTCTGAGGAGTGGCTGGTGGGTTTATACTGCCAGCCTTTTCTGGTTAGCAGTCAAATAAATGCCTTTGGCACTATCCCACCAGAGCTCCTGTCTTAATTATCTAATGCTGCTATCATAGAAATACAGGTGGCTTTAATAGAAACCAATTTATTTTCTCACTGTTTAGGAGACTAGAATTCCAAATTCAGGGTGCTAGCTCTAGGGGAAGGCTTTCTGTTGTCAGCCCTAGAGGAAGATCCTTATCTGATTTTCTGTTCCTGGACTATCTTCATGTGGCTTAGCATTTCTCTTCCCTCATCTCTGCTTCTCTTCTATGCTTGTTCAATCTCTTTTATATCTAAAAGGAGTTTGACTGAAGACATACCCTGCACCAAGCTTGTATCATTAACAAAGTAAATCCATTCCTATATGAGATTTTAACTGCAAGCATAGAAGTTAGAATTTACTTTTGGGGGACGTAATCCATAACAGGAGCTTACTTATGTAATTGTTTCAGACATAGATGTCTTAGATCCTTAGTACTAATAAAATTAAACACACACTCTTTTCATTCAGTAATACAATGTCAAGTTCTTAATACTAGCAAATAAAAGCCATCTCACCAACAAATGAATAATACATTATAATCTAACAAGGTTCATCCTAAAAATGGAATCCTCATAATACTGTTCTGGAAGTCTTAACCAGTGTATCAAGTCAGTACACACAGCGTAAGACCAGTTCTTTCTTCTGAATAAAATTGAATTTGTTAAATTTAGCCTAGTCAATAAATAATATTGCGTAGATAAGGAATTTTTAACAGATGCAAAGTTGGTTTTATTATCTGTAAATACATATTTATGGGTAAATGTAAACATACGAATACTGAAGTGATGCTGAGTATCACTACTTGGTAGGGATGTACAAATAATAAGTACATTGAGATACCACCTCACACCTAGAAGGATGGGTACAACAAAAATGAAAACAACCAAAAACAGAAAATAACACATTGGTGAAGGCAGAGAAATTTGAGTAGAGTACTATCTATCACATGCTAAAATGTGAATGAACCTAGATAACATTACCCTGGGTGAAAGAAGCCATATACAAAGGTCACATATTTTATAAATTGTTTCTATGAAGTATCCAGAATAGGTAAAGGCATTGATACAAGAAACAGATGAGTGGTTGCCAGGAGCTGAGTGGAGGAGTGAATGGAGAGTGATTGCTTAATGAATCTGAGGTTTCCTTCTGGACTCATGAAAATGTTTTGGAAGTACATAGACATGGAGTGATGGCTGTACAACATTGTGACTATACTAAATGCCACTGAATTATAAATTTTGTAATGGTTAATTTTTTTTTTTTTTTTTTTT